TCAGTTTCCAAAAATGCTGAAATGCGACAGTAGGTGGACCAATGATGATGAGTGAAAAGCAAAACGTTCACGGTATGGGATAATGATCGTCGTCAGGTGTAAGATAATGGCGGTGTTAGTCAAGTGAATCAAGTCGCTGTTTTCAGCGCGCTCAAAGTCCGAGAAGCGAACCATGTCACTACCATTCAACTGGAGCAGTATATACTTCGCTGGTGTAGCTCTCTGAAACCACACTTTTCCTTATCTAACCCGCTGGGGTTGAAGGTTCCTAGGACTGAAAAGTAGGACTGCATGGCTATGGGGTTCAACTCCCATACTATTCATTATAATAACGCAAGTAATGTCATGACATAAAGACTTATTCCAAAGGCCGAGCATTTGAGACGAAGAGAAAAATCTATGACTAACCGACCAATCTCTCAAAAAGTTAGAAAGTGAAATCACGAGAAAAGAGCAAATTCCAGCATTCCAAATTTGGTGCTCAATCGGACATACTCTCTCACACGAAACGTACTGAAAGAATGACTATACTAGTTCTCCCAAGAATGGGGGCAAAAACCGAAGAAACCAGTTGAAACGATACGTTTCTAAATAAAAAATATTCCGGATGTATTCTCAGTACAGTGGGATGACAACCACTGATCTGATCATAAACATTATTAGTTCTAACACGAGGGGTTTAGAATAGAAAAAGAATTTTGAAATAGAATAAAAAAACAGGTTCTCACAGACGTGATAGTTGAAGTACTGTCTGTTGGTGAGCGGGTTATGGACAGATGCGACTAACGTGACAAGCGGGCGGAAAAAACTGTCAGACCACGCACATATTCAAGTTCCTCCAACCCGGTCGGTCGATAGATGATATACATGGAAACGGTCAACCTTTTTCTCCACATCCAAAGGCAACAGGTGTATCTTTCTTCACCAGGCAGGATCAATCCGGCAACAGCTCTGATCATATATGACAAGGATCCACATTAAGTGCAAAACTCTTGATTGTTTCAACCGGTCTTGAACCATTGTGCAAATATCATGAGAAAAAATTAGTCGACATTATTGTTCATCGACTAGTTGTAAACTAGTTCATGCCCGCATAAAATATCAGGATTCCATGGAGAACCCGGCTGTATTTTACTTGTTTGAAAGGGATGCATTTGGTAAGTAGCTAGAACACAGTGTAGCTAAGCGAAGCTTAGGACGATGGAACTGTTGATGGAACCAGTAGGAGGAAGAGCTGCTCTTCAACACGAGAAAACCGAATTAATTTGAATTAAAGTTGAAATGAAAACCTGAAGAACTTATATACATAGATGTTAAACTGACCTTTAGTGCTTGCCGGTTGGTGACATAATTCTCAGCGGAAATCATGTTCGAATAGTGCTTGAAAAACTCGTCATAGTTGGTGGTCAAAAATTCGGCAACAAGACTCTTGTGTCGTGTCAGTAAGTCTTTCAGCGTTGAGAAAGCGTCCGAACTGACATCAAAAGCCGTACCTTGTACATAATCAAACAGCTGATAGAATTCGGGCGACTGGAGAACCACTTTCGCTAGAGCTTCGTGTCGACATGCATCCCGAAGCATCTAAATGAGTGAAGCGATAAGGAGGAAGTAAAATAACTACGGGTTTAAGAAGACAGAACAACAGGTATTTGAGTTCCGGCAAAAATAACAAAACATTTCGTTGTTTATTGCATATAGTTTAGAACTGTTCGTCCATTCAGGATTTTCTCATTGGGATTTCAAACATGAAACGAACACATTAGGACCACTGAATTACATTCTTACGTATCTTACAGTGTCCCTAGTCCCGAGCGTGTACAGTTAACATGTAACATGGCTGGAGTTAACAGAAGACTGCCTGGTGACAGAAAAAAAGAGGAGGAATGGTTCATTTGAGGTTCGAATATACAGTTTTCAGTTTCAGTTTGAACAACCATTAACCGTGCACTTTCGTGCGGCGGTTTTCGTTGCTGTCTTTTGGCTGCCCATTTGGATGAAGAATAGGAGAAGAAAGGAAAGTTGAAAGTGGATTCGAAAGGAAAATGGAGAAGTTCAGTGGACTAAGGTTGGAAAGAAA